CCCCCCCCCTCCAAAAAAAAAGGGGAACAAAAACAACCCCCCCTCCCCACAAAGAACCTACCTGTGCACCATATTGCGGTGTACGCCATGCACATGGGCTGCATTGTTAGAAATCATCTCAGTGCTGGGTTTTTTTCTTTTTAAAATAACATTCATTTAACTGTGGCCGTGTGTTGTGATACGCTGTGTTGCGATTAAATGTAAGCCTTTATCATCACAGTGCACAAACGATTTTTTAACACAAGTCGCTTATTTAGTTTTGTGTTACTTTTTTTTTACAATTTTGCAAAAAGGCGCAATTTAAAATTTACAAATATTTTATTATCTCAATAGTTTTATCTTTTAGATTTAGTTGGAAAAGTATTTTTTGTGTGTGCATGGATATGGAATTTGATGCTTTTATCAACTGAATTGTGTATTTGAATCAGTTTAATATTGATTGACAAACATTTGCGCAATTATCGCAGGACCTACATCAAAATTAGTAGCACCTTTTTTTTTCTACCAGTGCTGTGCTTTCAGAAAATATACAGTTTGGGGGGGGGTCTCTAACAAACGCTAGCGACAGAAAATCAAAACAATGGGAAAAATTGCAAAAATGGTGAGGCCAGCTGAGATTAGAAGCTTTCCAGAGGGCGTGGCAGCGAAAGGGTTAAATGCACTCCTTGTACACTCTCATCCTGGGGCATCCTTTTACATTTGTATTTGTTAAAGTACAGGGAAATGATTAGATTGCAGAGCGACCATCTCCATGCACTACTACTTTCTATTTTTCAATACTCCCCCCATACAGGGCTTTATTTCCATGACATGTATTAGCTGACAGTTCAGTAAATAAGTGATAGGTTTGAAAACTTACATGTGCCACATCTGGACTGCTTCCTTTAACATGAAGTGAGTGATGGGCCACGTTGACCAAATGGCTGTAAAAAGAAAAACCATCATGCAGTAAAACTAAAACATAGTTCAGGGCAATAGAAGCATTATCCTGCAAACTAAAAAAAAAAAATGATACAAGAAAAAGAGTAACTGAATGCATACGTCTGTAAGTCATTGCTGAGCAACAAATAGAAAGGTTTACACAGACTGCTGAGAGGAGAACTCTGACTGGATGGAATATAATGACTCAGTCTTTAGGCTGATCACAGGAGTTCTTTTTCACTGGCTAAACAAGAAAAATGTTTAAAGTTCCTGCAGCAAGTTCTGTGGCCCAGCCATATAAACGTAGAAGCTTTTTTTTGGCAAATGCAAGTTTACCTATGTTTATTTTATTTTTACCTTTTAATCAGCTAGAAGGCTAGCCGAATGGATTTTAGCAAACATAAATGTAACTACTAGACCTCCCGGTCATATGCGTACTGGGTGGAAGATCCAAATAGGCAGACAGAGAAAGCTGGACACTATGTCTTTAGGTGAATCTCGTATTCGTATAGCAACGCATGACGTTCAAGGCCTGAATGCGCCCGTGAAAATGCGAGTGGCTTTCAACCACTACCATTCCCAAAAAATAGATGTGCTCCTCCTTCAAGAAACGCATTTCCCTCATAGCTATAATCCATCTTTTATACATAAGCACTATACTCAATACTATTTAGCGAATGCGGCAGATAAATCAAAAGGGGTAGCCATACTTAAAAAACGGTAAGCTTGTGTCGACAATTGAGACCAGATACTGGAGATGGAACAATAAGGAATCCTGAAGACTGTCTTTTTGATTTTTTGTTTTAGGTTGTTTTGTTACATTGTAGTATGTAGATGGTCATTGTATATGCCTCAATGAAAAATAATAAAAACTTTTGAATACATAAATGTAACTACTAAAAAGAGGAGCATTGAAGCACCTGCAATAATAGATATTAGGCTTCGATATGTCCCATCGCACTCCTGACCGGAAGATCCCAACAAAACAGGGTGAGTACAGTAGCGACAGCAGATGCCTCTGCAAATCTCATAGAGCCAGTAAAAAGTCACTCGCACTCCAAAGCGACGCCTAGTCAATCTCTTTATCGACTATGGTAGTGCAACATCTCAAAGGGACATTTCGGAAACCAAGCGGTCCCTTCTTCAGGCAAACATTTTCTGTTTGTTTGTCTGAAGAAGGGACCGCTTGGTTCCGAAACGTCGCTTTGAGATGTTACACTACCATAGTCAATAAAGAGATTGACTAGGCATCGCTTTGGAGTGCGAGTGACTTTTTACTGGTTCTATGCAATAATAGATGTGTCGCTTTGGAGCCACAAGTGCCATCTTCGCGGACTCTTCTCCTCCAGCCAACGTCCTTCTCTGTTTATAGGGCAGCCCATGATTATGCAGCTCCCACTCTTGCATAATGAAGTTATAATGTCCTGGCTCTAGGATACGCCCTTTGGCATCTAACAGATGCTGGGAGTGTATACTGCACTGTGCATGTCATAAAAGAAAATAGGGTAAGAAGATTTTTTTGGGCCAGAAAAGACATACAAAGTCTCTTCTGCCACAAAATGGTCATGCTGGCAATTTAACATTTTTCAGAGTAAAGCTTCTCGATGATTGTATATTGGCTAGATAATTGTGCATAATATTTCTGTTGCTATGACCAATGTCCATTACAGCCTTTAATCAGTACAGAGCAAATTGTAAGATGCATTGGACGTCACCTCACAGGAAGGCGTACCTGGAAAAAGCTTAGTGAGCAAAGGCCTACATTTTGCATAAAGTCTGTACAGACAATTTTAAGAAGTAACTTGTTATACTTACATGTAACAATCAATTGCGAAAGCATCAAACGATCCCATAACAGCCTCTGCATCACATCTCATAGATAAGCAGTAAAACAATACATTCATGCAAGGTGACTGACAGCCGAACCCACCAGCTGCTGAGTCTCCTGTGATGAGCGGACAAGTTTCTGTGGACATGCCCGCTTCCTCAGAGCACCTTGCATGAATGTATCGTTTAAATGCTTATCCATGGGATGTGAGGCTCTTATGGGTTCCTTTGATCCATTTACAATCGATTGCTACATGCGAGTATAATAAGTTAGTTATTAAAATTGTCACTTTTTCACGAGGTGGAGACACTTGCTTTCTGTTCTCTTTACAGGTTTTGGAGGACTTTCTGGTTTGTGAGATTTCGCAGCCGCATTCCTTGATCAGCTGTGTTACTTTTATCAAAAACAAACGCTGAAGATCAAACTGTGTTAGTCAACATGGAACAGTCTGCTGAATGATACTGTAGGTTGCATGAATTTCAATAAGTGTGAATATCATCCAGAGCCTGTGATTTGTTTGATAGAAACAGGAGGCTAATGGGAAGTATAGTTTTAATAAACTTATCCTGCCGCTTCAGGATTCCCATATTGTCCATTATCGATTTCCTAATCCCAGATTTATGTTGCACGGTCCTTCCCGATCATAATACCTTCCAATGTTTGTGGAATACTGATGGACGGATACCTATACACATTCTATGCTGATCTTTTAGTATCTCCTCTACTTTTTTTATTATTGGTATTTATACAGCGCCGCTTTACGCAGTACACATGCGCATCAGTCCCTGCCATCAAGGAGCTTACAATTTAAGGTCCCTATCTGACATGCATACATACATGGGCCAATTTAGACAGGAGCCAAATAACCTTCCAGCATGTCTTTGGAGTGTGGGAGGAAACCTGAGTACCCGGAGGAAACCCATATAAGCACAGGGAGAACATACAAACTCCTTGTAGATAGTGACCTGGCCGGGATTTGAACCAGGGACCCCCAGTGCTACAAGGCAAAAGCGCTAACCGCTATGCCACTGTGCTGCCCTGCACATGAAAGACAATCCACTGTATCTGTAAATTTTCTACATGTAATTGTGTAAATGCTTTTTGTATTAGCTCCTTGAAGTGGACCCAATTCTTGATATTTTGATTTTATGTCTATTCTGTCTTATATTTGTAAGAAACTCCATCAAAATACTTGAACCCTTCTTCACCAGGGCATGGATGCAGTCCATTTATCTATATCTACAGAAATCAAATCACTTAAAATGTTGTTTTACTGTTCTTCTCAAATATTAGCTATTGCAGTGACCTGTGACTGCAGGCACTGAGGGATGACAGAGACGTCACTGGGATTTCCCATGTTGCTACAATACAGGACTTTCCATGTAGTGGATTTTTCTACAATAAAAAATGCAGTTTGGCCTCTGCTCTTAAGTTACCGGGACTGCCTTCCTAAAGGGAACAGTGCAGGATGGCTTACTCTTGAATATAACAATAGCTGACAGTATACGAAGATACATTATGGTTGTTTACTGTATAATTACCCAAGGCCCATGAGGAAAGAAACCAAGTATCTTGGCTGAAGGTCCTTCAGTGTCTTATGAATGACTTCATCATATCTATGTAACAAGAACTTGCGTTAAGAACAAAAAATAAAAAAACACAACAGCAGACAATGGAAGATCTAAGCATGTTCCAAAAATTGTACCCTTATGCAAAAAAAGACATTCCAAATTCTATTAAGAGTTATAAGTCAATAACCGCTATTCAATACACAATGACAAAAGCCTTCTTTCTCAATAATGGAAAGTGGGAGGACCAAACTAATGAAAAGGCATTGTGAAATGTATTAATACACCAAGTATACAACTAAACAAGCCGTCACTTCAATATTTTTGTAAGTAAATCACACATCTTACAGATCACTTGTATAAGTGATCTGACATCTATTGTTAAAATCACAACATGTGTGATTCACCCATAAATTGGAAAAGAAATACCTGAGCAGTTGCCGCAGGGTGAATATTACAGAATTGGTAATCTGACAAAAGTGGGCCCTTCAGATCCTGAAATGTAAAAAACATATACATTTTGACTTACAGAGCTTTAAAAAGGAGTGTTCAGCACTGACTAAAAGAACAATGAATGAACGATGGAAGTAATTTTGAACTGCAGATGTCATCAGGAAGGGGTTCAAAATTCTAATTCTAGTCACCCTCGTGCACACTGGGACTAAATACAATTCAAAAGATGAATGAACAGAAGAGAAATTCATCTGAAGTGTATTGGTAGAAATCACTTAAAACGTTCCTAAAGCAGAACTCCCAGGAAGTTTTTTTTTTTTTAAATGAACCCTTGCAGTGGGGCTACACCCATACTGTAAAGGTTAAAGTGACACTAAAACTCAGAATGTAAACGTTAAAAAAAACAAACATTCAAGTTCCCCAACTATTAACAAAAATGTATCTTATTTGTGTATCACTCGGCTGAAGATCCTCAAATCATCTCTGAAGTGGTGCCGACACTGTCCTTCCTTCTGGAGGGTGGCTACTTTTGTTCCCCATGGCCCCCGTGTGTGTTTTAAAGTAGCCACCACTCCAAAGTTACTCTTGTTATGGACTAAAAGAGTTGACTAATTTGTATTGAAGATATTTTCCATCAAAGGAGTGAACTTGGAGCGGTGGCTACTTTACAACACACACAGGGATCATGGGGAACAATTGAAGATCTACAGCACATAAGATACATTATTGTATATAGTTAGGGTACCCGAATGCCATTTTAAGGTTTAAAGCCTGAGTTGAGTGTCACTTTAAGTGCTCATTTTGGTCTAGGGAGGAAATTAACAGTTATATTCGCCTGATCCCCTGAGCCAGCTGGCTGTGACAGCGCTCCCTCCAGCCTCTCTCCTCCTTTGCTGCAACATGGGTATGTTCATCAGATTTCTCACGTCCTATACACGGTGTATAGAACGCAAGTACTCACAGACCTTAGACCACTGCAGCGGAGGGGGAGAGAGGCTTCATGGACCGGTCTACAGGTATTTTTACAATAATACCTAAAAGACACACATATTTGCATGAAGCTGATCTTTTTTTCAAGTTCATCTGAAAATAAATGAAATGTATACATTCTCCATAAAAAGTCAAATGTTCCATATTTAAGAGAAAGCAAAAAAAATCATACAAAGTGTGTGTCATTTTCTGAAATACAAACTGACAGCAAAAGGTGTTTCCAGATAACCAACAAGGGGACGGGGTGCAAATGTTACCAAAGTAGGAGGCCTGTATTTCCTGTTTACAATTCAAGGCATAATATTGAACGCAGAGCAAGGAATACCTTTAAGAAATTGGTATCATTTCTACAACTGCATATTTCCAATGGAATCAATTACAAAATATATCTTGTGGGGTGCTGTACCTGTACAATTAGAGCTGCAATCCCAATCTTTTCAGCGGTGTCAGCAGGGTCTTCAGTTGTTTTACTTGCTGTAAAAATAAGAGCTTAAGTATTTAGAGATTTCTGCTACTGTAAATTCGATTCAACAAACTGTTATTTCCATACTTGTCTATGATAGGGTACCTGGTTTTATAAATGACTGCATGACAATGACAATAGACCCTATGCTTGTGGAACATAAAAACAGTTACCCAAATAAATGCTGCTCTCAAGATTCTAGAGCCTGAATGGGAGTCTGGCTGCTATAGGCCACACTGCCAGCATATCTCTGACACTTTAAAGAGACCCTGTTACCAGACTATTAATTTCAACAAAAACCTTCCTACAGGATTTGATGTGCATTCAACATAGGTTATACATCTTATTTACTGTGAAAAGCCTCCCTTGGGTAGACATCAAAAAGCTCTGAGACTGCTGCTCAGACCTGTCATGCAAGTGACACTTTATAGTATTCCCCTTTGCTTCTCCCCTGTCAGATACGTAAAAGATTATGGGAGGGAGGTGAAGAGATGCTGGGCCAGCACAGAGTCATTAGACACTCCCAGAAGAGGAGAGGGATATGATGTATATGAGGGTGGCGGCTGTGCTAAGGAATCAATTCTTTCTGAAGTAGTCAAATCTAGCATGTTTAAAAGGGCACATTGCAGGGGAATAAAAACCATTTATGGAAAAGAAAAAACACTGCAAGTATGCATTTCAAATACTTGATTTTTCTATGCTTTTACCTGAAGTGTTTTGGGTTGGTGACAGGGTCTCTTTAATGCAGGTGTATATTTCATAATTGCAGATTAACAGTGATAAAATAATGGCAGCCATATTGTCAATGTAATTCAAAGACCCTGGTCCTAGACCTTGAATCCATCTGCACCTTTCTATTGGCAAATCACTATGACAGTCAGCTTCATTGATCGATTGATTGATGTAGGAGGCAGAGCTATATTCTTTTTCAATAAGTCTGATCAATACATGGAGACTAGTGCAGACATTGGGAGATTCCTCATATGAACCTGCTACATCAGTTCTCTCACTAGAAATATTAAGATCGCTTTCAGTTCACTTTAAAAATGTTTCTTCCATTACAACATGTGCAACCCACTATCTTTCATTAGGCCCGTTACTGTAACTTTAAAGTGGTGAACCCAGACTAAACAACACACCCAAAGAATAGTGCGCACTACCAGCAGCTAAAAAAAAAAAAAGACTTTTAAAAAAATGTAATAAAGTCCTTATTTTATGGTCACATTACCACTTTTCTTTTCATGGCCAGAGTCAGGGAGTGGGTTAAGCAGTAGCACCTCACATGCTTTTCATGCTTTTTCAGGTGAATGGCCCCCAGCCATGCAGAGTCACATGGTGCGGTCAGTCAAGCGTTGCTGCCTGCAGAGTGGATCAGATGCTTGACTGACAGCTTCACTTTGCTCTGCATGGCCTGGGGTGGAGGGCCTGGAAAAGCTGACGCAACGTCACCAGGACATGTGATGTTCTGCAGCTGAGCCCAGACCCACACACCTCCCTCAACCTGGGCTATGCTTACATGGGTGGCTAGGATAATTACTTCCCACAGCAAGGGGAGAATGTGCATTGTGGTGGCAATGCTGCATAGGCTCTACGAAACTGCAGACCGATGCCACAGAGAAAAAGGAGGAGCTATCGACTGGCAGAAAGTTTTCATAAAAGTGCACAGAGAGGTTACAAAAATCATTAGGAATGTTGTATTTCAGGTTTTTAGGGGATGAAGGGGGGGGGGGGGGGTTTACTGACACTTTAACATAACAAAACCAGTGCAAACATCACAATTCACTTAAAGACTTTGGGGACATACTTTCACTATTTGCCATATTTTGGAGCATTCTAGAACGGGCTTCATCCAAAACGTCCTCCAGAAAGATCACATCTCCCTTTCTTGTCTGCATTCCCTGTACACGGCCAAATTTAACATGTTGACAACTAAGAAAAATTAGCAGAAAAGCAATATTACAAAAGATGCAAATTGGAAAAGTTCATAAGCCTGAAGCCATTATTTGACAGAGTAACAATTGGACTTCATGTATTACGCATCTTCAAAATGTTTCTCCTAATGTGCTTATGTACATTCGACCACCACCAATCACAATGTGAAAGCTGCATTTCCAAACTTCCTGTAACTGGTCCACATTGTTAATGGAACAAGTGTAAAAGTATAAAGGCACAAATAACTTGGACACCAAACCTCCCTATGAGTTTTTTCAGATGCCTGCAATTTCTGGGGTAAGCAGTGTGCTTAAGAGGTTATTGATAATATATTATGTAAAGTCTATTTAAAATAGAGACACTTAAGGAATTTGTACACATCACTGCATCAGTGTTCATTTCATTGACAATATATTTGGGGGGGGGGTTTCCGTCATTTGGCTGTTTTTCTGTGATGAAAAGGAAACGAAATACTAGAGCAGTTAACGGGACTAAAATTCGGCTAATTTTCGGCGAACGAAAATTGGACAGACGATTGCATGACAATTTCCGGTTCCCTAAGCTCTTCCTTTTCCTGGCAGTAGGCAGATGTGCACAATTCAGCATACTGAACTACCCAGTGGGACACCAGCTTACAGCACTTGCTGCATAGCCACAAACTGTACAGGAGATATCATGTCAGCAGGGAGAAAGAGAAGATGTATGGATGCATTTACATTTAATGCTGACGAGAAGAAGATTCTTTGTAAACCATGTGGCGCGACAATCACCAGTAAAAAACACAACAAAGTTACAGCGAAGATTTGAAGATTACTCATCCTGAAATTCATGCAAAGGTAAGCATGCCCATATGCGCATGGAAATAACTATCTCTATGCTATGCAAGCAAATGTGTATATCCGCTTCAGGTCTAAAAAAAACCCTTCATAAAAAATTAACACCTGCGATGCGAGTCATGCACATGTATACATAATCTCTTTATTACCACAATAAATGCTAATCACTTACAAAGGTGGAAATGGACTTTAAGCTAACATTAGTTTGTTTCCATATGTAATAACAGGTTAATAGACGTTTACGCCAGGAAGATATCATGAAATGAGTTTGGAAACGCTAGAGAATTGCTTAAATGCATTACACTAAAAATAAACCCATTAGACTTTAGTCAACTAAAACTAAAATTATTCAGATGACTAAAATACGACTACAAAATAAACATTTGTTAAAAGACTAAAATGAAATTTGCTGTCAAAATGAACACTCAACTGCACTATTTAAAATATATAACGATACACAAATCACAGCTATAGACAATGGATGCAGTTGTTGCAACCTTGTAGGGAGTAATTTAGTGATATTACATGGGTATCTGTGCAACCTATAGTTACCAATGGTTCCAATATATAAGCCTGGGGAAGAAGCATCTGGATAATGTTATGCTTACTTGCCTACTTTCCCAAGGATCTCCAATATTTTAAACAAATGTTCAAAATGTGTTTGTTGACTTTTGTCTGTCTTAAAAGAGGGAAAAAAAGAAGAAGGAAGTTAAATTCAAAATATTTACATCTGTTGTGGTTAGTTTAGTCTGCTTATGCAAAAAAAAAAAAAAAGAACATTTAAGCCTTTCCTTTATCATAAAAATTGAATGTTTTCTCTCATTCGTTTTCTCTTTTTCAGGCTTTTGTCCTTTATTTTCGGCCGGTATTCCTATGAACAGCACACCTCCTGTCCGTGGGTGGCTACACTCACTCCACTACTGCATCTATGGAGGCAGTCATGATTGCCACCCAGGCTGAACTCGTCTGCTTTTGTTCATGCCATCGCATGTGGGATGGGGAGATCAATAGTTTCAGCAGGGGGATAACATTGTTCCATGCTTCCAGTTAAGCTCACAGGAAGTAACAGTTAAACGAGAACTATGAGTTGAGTGAAAATCACTCAGCCTCATAGTTGGAGCGGACGTGTGACAAAGAAGCTGTCACGTCAGCTCAATAGATCGAGAAGTGAGCGAGCGATGGAATGCATTTGCTCCCTTTCCGATCATCTCCCTGCAGATAGTGATGCCTGTCAGTCACCGCTCCCCGCAAGGATTCCCCCTCCCCTTTCCGATCCTCCAGCGCTGAGTGGAGGAACGGATGGGGTAGGGTACGGGCAAAGCTGGCTCAGCCTCTAGACAGGCAGAGCCAGCTGTCATTCAGGAAGCTGGGTGGATCTCGACAGCATTGTCGGGATCGGTCCTGGCTGCGGCGGTCTCAGTATACCGCGAGCTGTAGCTTGCCATATACTGAGCTTTGGTTCATGGGAGGACGCTAGTATATATTCTCCCGTGACCCTAAAGAGAACTATGGGGAGAAAACACTTACTCCATAGTTCTCTTTTAAATGCATTCCTGGCAAGATCAGACATTTTCTGTACCTGCAGGAAATGTTCTTTGCCTAAAAACATCTAAGGACTGATATGATGTATATATGACGTTTTTGTTCCGTTTAATAATTTAATATATGTGTGACACCCGGTACCGGGTGTGTGCATTGATCGGGTCTTTTCTGCCCGTGCGTGCCCGCTAGGGGGCGCGCGCGAGCAGAAAAAAATTGCCGTCTGGAGACGGCAACCCGCAGATGCAGCAGGTTAAAGTGGTCATGACCAACTGCCAGCCCTTGTACGTTACCTGAAGAGAGGCTGAAAGTCTGGGCCTGCAGTGGTTATAACAATGCGATATCACCGCAGGCCTAAAGTTGGCCACATACGGTTATAATTCACAGGAATTGGCTGAAATTGCAGTGCGTTGCCCTGCAGACTCGACAAAAGTCGACCACTCAATGGAAGGAGTCAGGCGGAAAGGTTACGACCGAACCATGATAGCAGCCTGTGGGAGCCAGTTGTCAGAATACAATAATCGCAGCGGGAAGGTTCTTCATCCACGTTGTTTAGCATGAATGGAATCGTTTAGATTCTTTTCAGTCAGACAGCAGGCGGAACAAAAACAAAAAATCTATTCGCTTATGGCCAGCTTCAGTATTAGGCATCTGATACCAAGAAATACAAGTACATGTTTGCAGTAAAGTAATAACATGAGAGCTTTTAGCAATATTTTCTTTGGCTTATTACCATCTCTTTCATGTCTTACATTTATGTCTAGTGGATGTCATCAGTATTATTAATCATAACAGCATACTGTCAAGTCTGGGAACAGTTATTGCAAATAGTCACAGTAAATCCACAATAATAATAATAATAATAATAATAAACACAAGCAGATACAATGTCACTGACATGATCATCCTAGATTAGTATCATTTAGATAGAACACTAGTAGTAACATTTATAAGAGCCCAGACATAAAACCTGCATGTTTCTAAAGAAATGTAACTCCGTACCACGTAGATCATTTCATTAAAGTTAGATTTCTCCATGCGATCAAGTGCAGCTGCAATGTCCCTAGGAGAAAACACAAGTAAATAGAAATAAGTGAATAAGATGTTTAAAACTTGTGAAAGAAAACTAGGGAGAATTATATTGTTAGAAGTTGCACATGATTTATATTTCTAAGGACTTGTTCACGCTGGTCTGTATGCAAAATACGCTCGGTTTTAACATGAGAGCTTTTGTGGTGCGAGTGGTTCAGTGGGTAGACAGTGTAATGTGCGGTCTTAGAGATAACCTCATCAGTCTACTGCTTCTCCATCCACTGTGCGGTCACAGGGAGGGAGAGGGGCAAGACCTGTAATCATTATTTAACTGCAGCACAAAAATTGATCTTTTAACTGTGCCAGATGTTGAGGCAGAGCTGTGCAACTCTCCATACTCGATGGACAGAACTACAAATCCTTTGGCAGGTAAAAACACCCCCATATGGGTACTTAATCTGTGTATTTCGCCATTTGCATGAAATTCAATATTGGGGTTTCGGTAAGAAAAGAAAAAAAGAAAAGATACAAAAAAAATAAAAAATGCATTTTTAACAAAGCAAATGTGTTCTCTACAATCTTTAATGCTTCCAGGTTTTATGATGGTTCTTCTAATGGCTTAATCTATGAAAAATGCATTAGCAACCTCATAGTACTTTATAATTCAACATTTTGCACAAAGAATAGCAAGCACAGCAATTCGTCAAATCAATGATCACACCTTGTAATATACAAAGATGTCCCATCACTACGCATCACAGTAGAAAAGGTGGAAACATCCCCTTGCTCTGAAAGATCCACCACTCCTTTACCGTCGCTGCAAAAGAAAAAAAATAAGAATGATTATTTTTTGTATCACTTTCTGCACTTCCAGAAACTGCAAAGATATACAAGTTCCCATATTAATGCCATTATAACATATGCACTAGAACTGAGAACTTTCCATTGTAATATATGCATTAGGATTGAGAAGTACACCATTGTAACATATACACAAATCTGGAGATAGGCTATTGTGCAATGCACTGACTGCTGATAGATAACCGGACAGAGAACGGCTTACCCTGTTGTCTTTAGAATTCCTTTCTCTTTAAGCAACTTCAGAACATCTTGTGCCTTCTTATTGTAAAAAGATTCACCAGAGTATTCATCAAACTGCACCCCAAGACGCTGAAAATAGGCAGGAAAACATACATTGTAAGGGGCATATTTTTTTAAATTCTGACCATGTTCCATACATATTTAGGGTGTAACATGAAACATAGTCAGTTTGCAAACTCTCCACCTTGCCTCAACTTACCTGAATTGCGGGATTCTTCTCCCCCCAAGTTTGTATTCAATTGCCCACATGGCTGTGTCATACATTCACAGATCCTTTGAGAGGATCTGTGAATGGAGAAGTCCCAGCAGCCACCACGGCAGAGGGTCTTGTAGTTGTCAATGGAATACAAGTGCAGTGAAATCACCACACTTGTAGTCCATTCACTTTTCCTCTTGTTCAGGTTACTGAATGCCCATACTGAGACATGGACGGGAGGAAGAGTCAGCAGGATATATATATCTCTCTCTCTCTCTCTCTCTCTCTCTTTATAACAGGTAAAAAAATGAAGTAACTGGATGCAAGGTACTGCAGGAGCATTTTGTACAATAATTTGTTCTCAGTTTTAGACCTCGCTAATCCACTTGTGAAGCTTACTTTATATACTTTGGTATATTCCTCAATGCTCAGATCTCTGAATTGTGTCCACAGGGAAAGAGCCTGTGGATGTCCATTCTCAAGTCTCTGCATAAAATCCTGTGCAGACGACTTCATATCTTCATCTTTATTTGCTGCTGCATTGGCTTTCACGTACACCTAGGTAGGTAAAATTTGTGAGTTATCTTTTATTCATTTTCTTCTCTGAGTCGAAAAAAAAGGCAAACATTAGTTCTTTCAGCCAGTTAATATGTGGCTTAAGGGAAAGCAAATACTAGCTGTTCTCCCAAGCCACACAAATGCATGTATCTTAAATTTGGTGATTAGCTAAATCACACCAGTAAATATATCATTTATATTTCAGAAGTAACAAATTCAAAAAATCTCATGTGGTAAAATTAGCATGTGGTGCTGTCGCTGATTAATGCCTATATTTCCTCTTCCTGAGGACCAAAAGCTGCTTTTATCAGATCCTTGTATATTGTGAGAATTATGCACCGCCTAAGTATGTTCAGCAGATAAATAAGGATATACGTGGAGACATCTACAGCAGAAATATATAAATAATATATCTCTTCATGGCAGATGTTTTTTTTACTCTTTTGGCTTGCGGCAGGACCAGGCAGTGATCTCATGTCTACAAGGTACCCACAGACACCACTGGCTGTACTCCTACCCAAACACAAATTGGCCTGGTGTATATGGACAACTTAAGACTAGCTTTGATTTTTTTGTAACTGCAACTTACCTCAAAAAGGTGTTGTAAAGGATTAGCTCTAAGTTTCTCATCAGATCCATACTTGCTGAATCCAGCACCTACTAAGCCTGGAAAAAACATGTTTATAAGAGAGGTTTAGTATATTTGGAAGACTTACAGGTACCCACAGTAATCTGATGCAGTTGACAAGCCCAATATGTAAATTTATAAAAGCAATAGGGGCAATATAATTGGTCACTAAGGTACGCAACACATTTTTGTTCTAGCAGATATGCTTCTATATGTACTCCTGTTCAAAAACTGTAGTGAACTGTATGCAGTTGCAGCAATGCATTTGGATGTGTAAAAGGTTCTATTTGCTGAAGGAAGGATAAAAGACAACACCAAAAATGCCTAGCCTCCACACATAGGCAGCAGAGAGCCTGGGGCATTGTATTCTCTGAGAAGACGAAGTATTTGAATCCTTCTATTACTCCCTAACAGTTCTGCAACACTGTTAACATAGCCTTATGCTTTTAAATTTGAGTATAGGCTCACATCAGGGAGTGGTGAATCTTATTGTGATGATAGTTATCCTTTAACCCCTTCATGACTGAGGCCTTTTTTTCATTTTTTGCACCCATGTTATATTCCACATTTTAGGCCTGAAAATTACTTAAAACCCCCACACATTATATATTTTATGAATGCCAAGACCCTATACAATATAATGGTCGTATTTGCAAATTTTTATGTTGCGCAATATTAGCGCAACTCCTTATTAAACCCCAAAATTTTGTGATAAATTTAATTAAATGCCCCAAAATACCAATTTTTTTTAAATGAAATATAAAAGATGAGGTTACAACGAGTAAAACGATACCCAACATGCCCAGTTTACAAATTGCGTGCGTCCGTGAAATGGCGAAAAACTGCAGTGCCCCAAAAAGTCCACAGAAGACGCTTTAAAAGCCCCCACAGGTCATCAATTTAGAGATACCCCAAAATACTGGCCCTAGAATTATTGCTCTCACTCCGGCGTGCGCGGCGATACCCAACATGTGTAGCGCGTTCGTCGTTTTCATGCGTAGGCGCACCCGACGCGTGTTTACGTGGCGACGCGCGTGCTCGCGGGGGACTTTAAACATTTTTTTATTATCATTATTAGATTTATTTTGATTTTAATTTTAAAAACTGTTTTTTTTTTACTTTGACTGCTATCACATGGGGGGGCTTACAAGCCCCCCCATGTGATAGCAGATGGTGGTGACAGGTACTCTTTAAGGTGATGCTGGGGGGTCCAAAAGACCCCCAGTGTCACCTTTACACTGGGTCGCACATCAATAGCTTATAGATCGCACATCAATAGCTTATAGCTGGGCTGCAGGAGCCCAGAACTGACAGCCCAGGGACCGGAAGTGATGCAATCTGCATCGCTCCCGGTCCCATAGAACGGCGAGAGGATTGATGAACGAAGTTCGTCGACCTCCTCCCCAGCTCCCCGCGGTCACCAAGGACGCCGGTCCCGGGTCCGTATGAGGGGCAACGGAGCCCGGGAAGCACGGCGGCGGTGTCCGGCGAGGGGTGTCAGTCACGAAGGGCTTAATGTGTACATATGGTCAAAATAGTATCTAAAGGTTTTTTTTTTAAGTAAATGGTAGGCATTTCCAGGTGGCTGTCTCATCCCCTGCACAGCACCCTTGAATTTCTGAAACTCATTGTAAAAGTACCAACCAACTTCTTGGTCACTGGCTCTGGACTTGCACCGCTAACCTTATGTATCCTACAACAGGTCCATCACTGTGATGAGTGGCCTTACCAAATAATAGTATGACAAATAGTATAGTGTTGAGGGGGACTAGTGCCGTGCTAACAAAAAGGTAGCTGTAGGGTCCTTGTACTAGTGTTCGGGGATGTAATGTAGTAAGGAGGATACTGGAGGTGCCCCACTATTAATGTTAAAGTGACACTAAACTCTGGAGTTAAATCCTAAAAATGTATGCATGTACCTCATTTGTTTATCACTCGGTTGTAGGTCCACTACATCATCTCTGAATTGGTGCGGACACTGTCCTTCCATCAGGAGGGTGACTACTTTTGTTCCCCCGTGGTCCCTGTGTGTGTTGTAAAGTAGTAACCGCTCCAAGCTTGCTCCCGTGATGGACTACAATCTCATGTTTAGATTACTAAATGTTATTGAGATTGTAGTTTATCACACCTCCAGTTTCCCCCTTGCTACATTACATCCCCGAAAACTATAGTACAAGGACCCTCCAGCTACCTTTTTGTTGGCACTGCACTTAAGAAAAGCACCACAAGCATGCTTTAACATACTTTATACTTGTAATACAAAGTATGATATTTTTACCCTGCAATCCTAAGAGCTGAAAGACTCTATGACTAAGTAAAATGAAATGGGGAAAAAAAAAATAAAAAAAAAATAAAAAAAAAGGAAAGAACACGACTCCAGGGAGCCACAGATTGCCAAGTTCAATAGGTGTTGGCACTGGAAAGCTTCCGTTTTATGAGAAATACTATATTAAAAAAGGTCCTATGTCTGGTTTCTGCTCAAATTATTAACAAAGACAAATGAAAACTGTTCCTAGGAGCTGATATATAAGCAAAAGTTCATAGGTCTGTGACCTATTAACGAGCAAAACAGAAGCCTGCACCTCTATGTCATCAGACACAACAGTCTGAAGCTCTTTCAAATTAAAGTGGAAAGTTACTTTAAAAACATGCACATGCTATACTAGCTGCTTTAAAATGCTTAGTAATACTCACCAAACTGAAGGCCCCAGTCCCCCAGGTAATTCATTCTTATAACTTTACAACCAACTGCCTCCTTCAGATTAGCAATAAAATTCCCTGGAAAAGAAATGTAATCAGGTTTAAACATTCTTCATTTGGTGCAGCAGAAGATAAAATGCCAACTTATTCAACACATTTCCATGGGAAAAGAAACAAGATGTCTCTTACCAATTATTGTGGAGCGCAAGTGTCCAACATGAAATTTTTTGGCAATATTGGGTGAACTGCAAATGCAAGAAAAAGACAACTTACTTCAATCTGTCCCACAACACTCACATTGTGATAACATAGTAGGCAAACGGTCCTTAAAGTGACTCTAAACTCGGGAGTTAAATCTTAAAAATACATTCAAGTACCCTATTACCAAAAATGTATCTTATTCGTGTATCACTCAGCTGTAGATCCTCCAATCATCTCTGAATTTGTGCCAACACCATCCTTCCTTCTGGAGGGTGGCTACTTTTGTTCCCCATGGTCGCTGTGTGTGTTGTAAATTAGCCACAGCTACGGGCTTGCTCCCAGGATGGACTGTGATCACAATACAGATAAGTACCGTAAACTAAACATTGTAGTCCATCACCTGAGCGAGCTTTGAGCTGTGGCTACTTTACAACTGTGTCAGGAGAAAATAAAATATTTATTTATATCATGCAGTTTACAAATTGTGACATTTCCCAGCTCCATTAATTTGGCCTGTTTTAAACATTGCTAGGGAGAATATAATTTTACAACAAAAAGAACGACATGAGATTTAAACAACAATTTGGATGCACAAGTTTCCTGCAATTAAAATATACAAGTGATATACAATAAGCATGTGAAGTAAATGTACCTGTATTCCACCAGAGTCAGACCCTTAGGGGTGTTTGACAAAAGCTCAGAATTCATTCCATATAGGGAGCCATCTTGGTATATTTTTTTTAAAATGGTCTGAAAAATATTTATAAATCAAAAAAGAATCATTACAACTTACAGGGACTGTTTTCAAGCTTTGACACCTATGTTTTAACTACGCTGATATGCTTTCATATATATACAGAACAGTGTGAAATCCACTAAGCCCTAATTTACTAGATCAATTTTAGATTGACCTTCAAAAGTCTCTTAAATACAATGAGTATAGAAAAGAATCCCCCCCCCCCTTAAAATAAAAACAAAAAGCCAATCCTCAAGAAAGGCCACAAGCAGTTATGACTGAGCTTTGCCACAAGCAGTTATGACTGAGCTTTGCCACAACGCACCATGAAGATTTTGAGGTCACATGGAAAAGGGTGATATGGTCAGTTGAGACTAAAATTGAATTATTTGGCCTCTACACCAAATGATATGTCTTGCAGAAATCCAATACAGCTCACCATCCAAATAACACCATTCCTACAGTAAAGCATGGAGGTAGTAATATCCTGTTATAGGGGTGTTTCTCTGCATCGGGATAGAAGGAAAAATAGATGGGGCAAAATACCATCAAATTCTTGGGGAAAACCGGCTGCTCTCTGCCAGAAAGTTGTCAATGGGAAGAAGGTTTACCTTCCAACGTGACAATGTCCCAAAGCACACAGCAAAAAATGACCACACAGTGGTTGAAGGAGAAAAAAAGGTGAATGTCCTTGCATGGCCTAGTCAAAGCTCAGACCTAAACCCCATCGAAAATATGTGGAAAGACTTGAAGAAGATTGCAGTCCACAAACGGTCACCATCAAATTTAAATGAAGTTGAGCAGTTCTGCAAAGAAGAGTGAGCAAACATTGCAAAGTCTAGATGTGCAAAGTTAGTAGAGACATATCCCAACAGACTAAAGGTTGTAATTAAAGCATAAGGTGCTGCAACAAAATACTGACACAAGGGGGTAACAGTGATTCTGTTTTTGATCCCCCCTCCCCCCCACCGATATGTTGGTGTTATATCTTTCACTTGGATGTTATAGGTTGCACTAATACAGCTGGATAAAACAAAAACTGTGTCTGTCTTCATTTCAGGCTGCAAAGCAACAAAATGTGATTATTTTAAAAGGGGGGGCGATTCTTTTCGATATCCACTGCATGTATGTAGCTCTAGTATTTTTAGTTATAAATTAAACACATCAGAAGATAAATATGTAGTTGTAACATAGTTGGTAAAATCAAATCAGCAACCATCTTTCAAGAGTGGAGAGACACAAAGCCAGACTCTTCAAAACATGTCAACTGTTTGACAGTGTGTTATTGGGTACCATTCTGTGTATACCTTCAGGTATTGAGTCTGTATCAGTCTGTATCGAGAAGATACAAAAGTTTGTTTGTCAAATAAACAGTTGCTAAATTTAAAGCCCATCTCCAGCCAACCCAAAACACTAGCCTTGTAGTGGGGCTACCCCTGCACTACAAAGGCCAAGTGCTTGATTATGCTTAGGGGACAGTAGAAAGCCATCTTACTCACCTGATCTTTGCTTCCAACGTTTCTCGCAGCCTCTTCTCCCCTTTGCTATGGCGACCTAAGGCTCACTTATATGATCATATCTAATGCAGGTTCCATAATCTATAATCAGCTGGAGCAGGGGAAAGATGGGTGACCGTTGACTGCAGGGGAAGTGAGAATCAGGTATGTAAAAGTGCTTTACTCTGGTCCCTTAGGCATAAACAAGCGCTTTACCTTTTCAATATGCGGGTAGCCGTACTGCAAGGGTAGTTGTTTGGTTTGCCCAGAAATGGACTTTAAACCAGGGAAACTATAACAATAGGATAGAATTAGAATGGGGTAATCATGTTGAAGCAAAGAGGCGGAGGGAAACGTTTAAAAAGGGGTTAGAGGAAGGAAGAAAAGAGTTGTATTTTAACACAATTACTGCATTAAATCTTTAGTCCTCCATTTTTAATCCACTTAGAAGACTCACCTCTGTTAATAATTCTCTGTTGATTTTGAAGGTCACAGATCCTCGACCAGTACCTATTTCACTGATAATAGAGTTCGCAGCCAGCTGAAATTCATAGAATTGGCATATTAGTTATGACAAAAACAATGTGTAACAAGCTACAATTCAGTCAAAAAGGTGTTCCATGAAACAATCACTTGTTGTAAACCGTTTGGGTAAATAAATGACTGGGAAGAATACAGTGCAGGTCATTTCAGTTTTTAAAAATGCAGGGCAACTATGCGCAAACAGGTTACGAAGTGACAAAACGTGTTGGATGGAGTATTATAGTTAGCTCCCTATACTCGTTCTGATCCACTTACTAAGTCAGTCTTCAGAGAGTGGGCAATTGCTGAGGCAACACAATGGTTTTGGACCTGGAAAGCACTATGCAGATACCTTTTACCAGAACAGAGCCTGGGAATCACTAAGAGGAACCCAGTGCACAAAGGTCATTTTAGGCTAAACCGCATGCCCAATCTAGTGGTGTGCGTATGCAGTACTCCAAAGGCCAGGTTGAGGATGACCATGCTGGAAAGCTGCAACTGAAAAGACAAAGCTTCGGCAGCAATACAGAGAAGAGTCTCAATTTAAGGAAAATAAAACATTAGTCTAAACACATCCGAGCTGTAGAAAA